CTGCAGGACCTGCCTGTCTGACCATTGAATGGGGCGATCCCATATGGTAAGTGTATCATTTGAGAAAGGCTCATCCAACAGCCTGGCAGAATAAAAAGGTAAGGTCTATGTCCAAGGAAGCCACAAGGGGATTTGTTGTATTAGTTCAGAGGGGACGTGGTGAGAGCCTGAACTTTCACAGAGGCAGTGGCAAGGGGCAGGATAAAGATATTCAGAACACAGCAGAGGAAAATTAAATACAATTTGATGACCTACAGGATTTGGGAAAGGAAAGGGAGGAATAGGTCAAAGCTGACTCTAAAGTTCTGAGGCAAAACAACTGACAGAATTATCCCTGGAAAGCTCCTGGGGGAGGGAAAGTAATGATTACAATCCTGTAATGGGGAGTTTGAGGTCGCCATGAGAAATCCCTAATAAAATTAATATTAGGAATTTGTGGTTACAAGAGCCAATCCAGGAGAGACTGCAAGCTGGATTTGTGTATTTGGAAGTTATTCATTCACTTAACAGTTATGTGTTGAAGATCTGTTACATGCCAGGCTCTGAGCTGTATCCTAATGTTTCAATGGGGAGCAAAAGAACTTTGTGGAGCTTGCAGTGTGTAAAGCAGGCATTCATCAAATGGCTCACCTCTGAAGGGAAAGCATATGAGGCCAGGAAGCCGTATGACAGTCAGACCAGAGCAGCTGGCTGGCCAGCCAAGGCTTTGCTGAAGAAGCACTGAGCAGAGATCTGAAGGATGAGATGAAGTTCAGGAGGTGAGCAAAGGTGGGAGGGGGAGGGTAGCGCAAAGGGGGAAGGAACGGTCCAGCCTCTGCGCAAGGAGGAACATGGCATCTGGGAATGCAGACCTTCTCACCAGGATCGTGACTGACAGTGAGGCTGGACTAACAGGAAGTGGCCAGAGCATTCAAAGTATTGTAGGCCATATCAAGACGTGAACAAAGATTATGCATGAAAAAATATGAAATAGAAGGAAAGCAAAAAAAGATCAGGAATAGACCCTCAGGATCTGAAGACAGCTAATAATGCAACAAAGTCCAAGAAATGGTTAAATAATTCCATGCACTATACAGCTAGATTGTGTTATTGAAAGAATATAATTTTTTGGAACTACATCTTGAAATTTTCCAGTTTGAGGAAATGCAACCTGGTATTAATAATTTTTGATACTTCTTGGAGACAGAATATTGGGTGAGATGGACCTCTGATTTGACACCGTGAAATATTTTGTGTGTTTTCACCAAGGGGTCCTTAGTTTTCACTGCTGTGAAAACGATACAGCATTTGATTTTTCGACGGGCAATTATATCCAGATAAACATTTCAGACTTCTGGAATTACTTCGATAATGATTTTACTAGAAAATTACCATGTCTAACTTAATACCTTAAATACAACATTGTCAAATCATAACTATTTGCATAAAATGAATCAGTTGCATTTCTTAAGCTTTTACACATAGACATTGAATAGATAAACTTCCTGAGGCTCCCTTCGATATTCAGCTGAGATTAATTCCAATGCTACTTTAAAAGTTGGAGAGTTGTTCTGCCTGTCTCTTGATAATTGTAAAGTACAGACAAAGGCACCCTCACCAGTACCCACAGAATCTTTTTTCATTCTCCGTGCGGAAAAACGATCATCTTAAATCATATGTACCATAAGTACTTCCTATATATATATCTTAATATTCTTCTTTAGATCTCCTTACTATAACCTGTTGGCAGTACTATAGCGATGATGAGATGGATCAGTAACTGGAGGAGAACTGGTGTAACTCCTAGAAGTCACTTCAGAGCTCAATTTCACCAAAACTTCTATTTCCATTTACTCCTTGGTCAGCAAAACAAGTGTGTCAACAAAATTGCCCGATTTGAGTTTTATTTCCTTTCTACATTATTGATCTCTTCTTAGTCAAAGTGTTCCACTAGTTACTAATCCAAAAAGGAAAAGTAAAGAGAAACAGAAGATCACCAAAGAAATCATTCTGGTATTATGGGGACTACTTTAACATACAGGCACCCGAAGATATTTGCCAAGAATGCAATTAAAGAATGAAATAAATTATTTCTTCACCTCATATCAGAAATAAAAAAGACGAAAAGTAGAAAAGTTTAAAAAAAATGTGATTCACAGAAACGTCTACCTTCACTCATCCAGGAATTATCTATTATATTAAAATTTAACAAAAACCATGTATTTTCAGGGATGGCGCAAAAAGATACAAGTCACACCAATAAAATCACCATGAATATAGAAAAAGTAACATAAAAACGATAATTCAGTTTATGTTTTAAGATGGTCTTTCTAGTAACAGACTTAATTTTAGGGTAAAGTAAAGCATGAGAAATACAAATTTAGTTTTCTCATGTACCCATTTTATGGTTAACAACAGATTTAAGAACAAAGGCCGACAATGCTACATTCTCAACATGGTTAGCAACACAGAGGAAAACAGAAGTAAATTTAAGGAATGTCAGCTTTTTATACAAAGCACATTCTATCCCTTTCCATATGACATCAAGTTCAATATAGTTTTATGAAACTGAAAGAAGACTGTCCCTAGCATCTTTTAGTATATACACATAATGTTATTTCTAAGAAGACATTTTACTTTATTTATATTGTATAAGTTTGTAAATTCTCTTTTTTCAAAGTTATCAGTCACATCTGTGGCCCAAGCATCTCTTTCCAAAAGAGGAATTAAGGGCAAGCAAGACAGAATTCGCTGATACACATATGTCACTCCAAGAATTTCCCTGACAAAGTCTCCACACCCAACTTAATTACTTCCCTACTGTAAAAACACTTTCCATCTGCATTTATTCTAATCTTTTCAAATCCAAAACCAACACACCATAAAGCTAGCTAAATAAATGAATGATATTAGCTGTAGGTTCCATGTGAGGGAGCATTTTATAAGGCAATGAGTGGGTCTCTAGCTCCCATGCATTTTACGCTGATACACTATTTCATTTTGAGCTCAGTTCTTTATTTTAGATTTGTTTAGAATAGAATTACCTAGCCCCAGGCCTTATATCTCAATCTGAACCAGTCTCTCTCTCTCTTTCATACACACACACAGAGCAGAAGGAGGGAGACAGGGAAGGGGAGAAGAGAGGGAGGGGAGGGGAAGAGGGAAAGGAAGAGAGAGAGAGAGTGAGAGAATATATGAATGCTTGTGGTTTTTAATGAGCAAAAAAGAAATTACTCATACATGTATATGCTAAAGTAGTGATGTCTGGTGTCTATAATAAAGACATTTTGAGGGTTTTTTTTGAGGGGGGTGTTGATTATAAAAACTGAACCTCAGTACATGCATATAATAAATACTGTGGGCATCCCTTGATTCGCTGACTACACAGTAAGTCATTGTATCCTTTTGGTGCAAGAATGTTCTTTAGTGTGTCTTTATTCTCTTTTTAGTGTTCCATCACTGCATTAACTAATGCAGTCCTGGCACTCCCAGACCTAATATCTGTGAATAAATAGAGAGCCCAAGAACAGCCACCTCCTCTGTTACTGACATGACAGGGAGTGAACACTGTCTTTTGCACCAGAAGTGAGGAGAGGGGACCAGCCACTATCAAACTGTCTGGGCAACACTGAACCAATAAATGATTCTAGGTTATCTTGAAGGCCTTTCCATCTTGGGCTTTTATAAATAAGGATTGTTTTATTTGTTTGTCTGTTTTTGATATCACAAGGCTTTAGAGTCCTTAGAAATTGATTTGCCTCATTTTGTCTATTTATATTATAGTTTATGTAGGAAATTAGGAATCTCATAAAGGTCAGCAAAATGACTTAGAAGGAAATGCCCACAGAGTACAGAGCTTGGGGCTCCCCTTCCAATAATCCCCATGTACCCTGGAATTACTCAGCTTTCCGGGAAAGATGCAGTGATTCATCCCTTTCCTGATGCCCCAATAAGCTGAAACTATTTGGTTCTATTTTGATACCTAATTATAAAAGACAAAAGTCAAATGTCAAAAATCCTGTATCATATTACATACTTTTGATAATCCGAAAGAAAAGACCACATACTTTTTACTATATTTTACTACAGTATTTCTAGGAAATGATTAGAAGAATATCATACTGCATAAAACAAAGGAAGACTTACTCAAACTGTAAATGGGCTGTGTATATAATATATACTTGCTTTCCAAAAGGAAAACACGGTGGTCATTAACATTATACCTAGATCTGTATTGTTTTACTGTACCAAGAAAATCACTGCATATACCATGTGCTGAAGCAAGTAGGACAAAATAAACTAAGACCCATCTCACTATTAAGCAACAATGTCTTAATGCAAGAAGGTGAGTTATATCATTAACAGTGTATGAAGGATATGCACAAATGGTAGGTACAGTACTTTCTCTTGCTCATTTAAAATTGAAAACTGGATTTTGAAATAAAAACAATGAAAATGTGTAGACCTAAAAAAGTCTGTTGGGCATCTGTGCCAACCACAAACAACTAAATGGTGCTAAATTCCTGTAGTGTTGCCCTCTGTCCACTTTCATTCATCTTTTTTCAGGCTGTATATAATCAAAAAGAGAATGCCAAGTTAATTCTGATTTTTCCAATTTGATAGCATTCTCAAAATCTAGCAATGTTTGATTAAAAGAAAACTAGTTTTTTTGGTAAACACAGATTTATATGTTATTCAGTTTCTGGCAAAATTTCCAATGTGACTACATTATACAAAGAAATTAGAAAGAAAACTGAGTGACCTCAAAATAATGAATGCTAAGGGAACGCATTTTCAAGTATTTCCCGAGATGTTTCCACTATTGTTTCTTAAAGTTGACTTCAATCAGTGTCCTTTTTATTAATATTATGATTAATGGCATCTTGGCCAGAATAATGTATAATTTCCATACAGATAAGTTCGATGTTTTAAATCACAGTTGCATCTGGAGTATAACATCATATTAGTTCTCCAAAACTGCAATTTTTCTTAAAGAAGTCTTGGCCTCTGTTTTACTGTACCTGGAATTCTGGGGTTCTGGGACATCTGACTCTGTGCACGTTTTCTTTACCTGTAAGAAAAAAGTACTAGTTATTCTCAGATGAAAATACAACTTCCTCACTCAGGTTCGTACACTTGTTAAACTTACAGTGAACACAGCTCTGCTCACCAAGATCTCTATAAAATACTCCCCACATTTTACAGCGGCAGCACACAGTATTAAATAGTGTATTTCATTATTATCCCGTGAACAGCTGCCAAAGGCACTTCCCTAGACTCCATTAGCATGTAAAATGTTGAGCTAAAATAGCTTGGGACTAGCTTAACCAGGAACAAAGAAACCAAAGAACCAGGTTTCCCACTTAGGAACTGGAAAGCCATACTGTTCTCAATTCACTAAGAAATGTTTTTCCAATTGATACTGCTTCTGTCTCCCACTAAAGCGCACAATAATAAACACCAGGTTCTGGGGGCAACGCACAGTGTTAGCTAAAACATTCATATATTAATTTTCATTCTCCTGATCCAGTGGCTGTATGTTTTATATATTTCTCAGCATATCAATTAAGTTTCGGCATTGCACACAGACTTCTCACATATATTTGCGGTATATTTTGCAGACTATATTTCAACTTTGTGGTTTTTAACCCACAAAAGGTAAAGAATGAAAATAACTTGTACTTTCAGGACATGCTATCCGTTTCTGGACAAAAATGTGTGATATATCCTCTAAAATAAGGTAAAGCACAAATCCATTGCCTTTCACAATTTAACGTCAAGCACAGATACTTACATCTGATTATTATGGTCTTAATAGTACGTAATATGCAAAGTAGACTCAATTTCAAAAATCTCTTAACATGGAGCACAAACATATACATTAGCCAGTCCATCATCATACACTCTGGGTGTTTACATTGCCATGATCTACCTATACAACCTACAGAACCCAAGGCATTTTGACTTCTAATATATAGCTTGGAAGTGAAAAATAAGTCTACGGAATATACACCGTGGGCATAGACCACGACTGTGAACTGTGATACAAAGAGCACTAGTTAAGAGTCAGCTTTCGATTTTAAAGATATAGAATTGTCTCTCCAGCTCACAAAGTAATTCTTTCCTCCTCTGACTCATAAGAATGCTTAAAAAACAAATACACACACACACACACACACAAACCTACGCTTTCAAAAATCTACGCCTTTTGCTTTCAGCTCTAAGCTTAGACATTTTATAATTGGGAAATCAATTATTTGCTTGATTAACTGTACTCTCATCTACATCCTGTGTGTACATACATATAGTACAAAAATAAAACTGATCAGCAACGAGATTATCATCTCTGCCCTATTATGTAACACCTATGTTCTTAATGTGAAATTCAGCACCATGAGATGGGAGAGTGAAGAAATATTTTTGAATAGTAAGTTAAAAAAAAAAGAAAAAAGAAAAGGGAAAAATGGTATACCTTTTAAAAAAGTAAACATAAAATTTACTATGAAGCCTGCGAAAGTTTTATGTCTGTCAAAAATTCCAAGAAAAATAAGAACTAAAAGGGAAGAAAACGATAATGAAACCCTTTTTTCCCTCTGGTTCTTTCCTATGATCAATCATCAGAAACTGTATGAACTGCCCAAAGAATATGTAGAAATCACCTCAAAGTGAACGTCACTTTCTGAAAGACTATGATAACTTGACTGTGGGACTGACCAACCACACAGGCACACCAGACACACTCCCAGGCACACATTAGAATGAACCAAGCTTCCTGTGGTTTAAAAAGCGAAGTTTTCTTTTTTTTTTTTTAAATCTTTAATATCCATGGCTTTACAAAACATCATTCTCCAAATACCTAACAGGAAAGTTCTGATTATTTTAATTTATTCTCAAAGTAGTAATTTTAATGTCAGAAAATACATCTATTGATCACCTACTATCTAGTATGCAGGGAGTCCCAGATTCATAGCTAATGTTATGAATAATAAGTATGTGATGAAAGATTGACGTAGGTAAAGATACTCTTTTAGACACTGTAAGAGCTTTGCATTCTTCGAAGTAATTCTTTTTAGGGGTTTAATTCATTTGTTCATGGTCACAGTAGGAATAGTTAAGATATAATGACTACTACAGGAGAGGTCTATACAGTGTTGTGGACGTTCGGAGGACAACCTACCCCATCTAAAGGAAGGTGGGGATGGCAACAAAGGAAGTGATTCCAAACTAAGTCTTAAAGAACACAGGTTTCAAAGACTAAGTCTGGAGAAAGATGGGTATTTCAACATCAACATCATGGGGTTTGACATATTATGAAGACCTTATAAATGGTAAAGGATTTGGAATTTAATCTTAGGGTAATGAAGACCATGGAAGGAGTTTAAGAAACTGACTTGGGCAGAGATGGTATAGAAGACAGTGTGGAAGGAAACAGGCTGAGGGCTGAAAGGCAGGTAAGAGCCTAATGCAACAAGAGGAAGCATATGTTCCATGAAAGCAGGGATGGCACTGATTCTGCACATCACTAATCCCTAGCCTTGAACAGATGCTCCTTGCTACGGTCTGAATGTTTGCGTCCCTCCAGAATTCATTTGTTTAACACCCAAAGATTAGGAAGTGGGAATTCTGGGAGGTGTCCAGATCAAGATGGTGAAATCTTTATGAATGGGATTAATGCTCTTATGAAAGAGACCCCACGGAGTCCCAAGCCCTTCTACCAATGTGAGGACACGGTGAGAAGTTGCTGGCTATGAACCAGGAGATGGGCTCTCACCATATACAACCATGCTGGAGCTTCCATCTTAGACTTCCCAGCCTCCAAAGCTGTGAGAAATAAATTTCTGATGTTTATAAACTACCCAGTCTGTGGTATTTTGTTACACCAGCCCATGGACTATGTATCTAGGTAACAGTATTTAATCTATGAAGACAGAGGTGATGGATGAAATCCTCCTTTTACACGTGAGAAAACCGTGGCTCAAAGAGGGTAAACAACTTGACAATGTTCCACAGGCAGTAGTAACAGGGATGGAATCAGAACTGAATGCTACATATACAGCAAGCCTTTCTGTATATACTATGCTGGATTTGCCAGTTACTTTTATTAGAGTGTCCTAAAATTAAGTGCTAAAACTAACATTCTATGGAACGATTTTTAGAGGAGAACTTACAATTACTTCTTGTGATACATCAACCATTAAATGAATCTTTTAAATTGGACTACTGAAGTAACCAATTTTTAACCAAGCACTTATAACATATAAAGTCCATCAGCAAAGTAAGACGAGTTTTGAAGAAATTATCTAAATACCTCTAGCATCCACCATCACCACCACCCTAACAAGTGCAAAGATGTCTAATGTAAACAATGTCTGGCTTTTTTTTGGGGGGGTGGGGGGTGTCTGAGATATCAGGATCCACTCATTTAACAAAACTTTACTGAATGCCTTGGGGTATAAGAGTCACCATTCTAGGCATAGAGATGAACCAGACCTGAACAGCCCAGCAGGGTAACCACTAGCCACACATGGCTATTTAGAACTTGAAATATGGTCAGCCTAAACTGAGATGTATTATAAGTGTAAAAGGCACATGGAATTTCAAAGACTTAGTATGAAAAACAGGGAAAAATCTCAGTTTTTATATTAAGAAATGAAATGACATTTAGATATCTTGGGTTATACTTGTGTCTTTTTACTTTTCTAACGAAAGTTACTCAAAAATTTTAAATCATAAGTGGCTTGGACTATATTGCTGTTGAATACCATTGACCTAGACCAATAAAAACCTGCCTGCATGGACCATGTATTCTAGTGGAGGAGACATAATAATAAATAAGTAAACAGACAAGTCAAGAATATAAAGTTAGCAGCAGTGATTGCCAGGAGAAAATAAAACAGAATAAAGGGACAGAAAAGAACAGTCAAGCACACTACATTAGCTAGACAATTATAAAAAGCAGTTGTTCTTATTTCACAAAACCATTCATTCTTCAAGATTTTTAGGCTATTATGTACATGAGTAACATAAATTGTACTTTTTAAACAAATTATAAAGAATGTGGGATCTGGTATTGAGAACAATGAATGCTTTCAATGTCTGGAAAATGTATGTAGAAAATATAATCTCCAGAATATTTTGCATTATGACAATTATATTCAAGTATAAAAATCTCCTTAAAGTTTTTCATATTTTCTAACCACTAGGTAATTTGAGAGGTTTACAATCTTTTGAGGAAAAACAGAATTAACTTACAAAAAAAATTGCAAAGAAAAACAAGTTTCTTTTATCCCATCCACCATCTTCTAAAAAAGCTGGAACCAATTATCGCAATTATTTTTCACTTTATCTTGCTGTTTATAAATCCTGAAACATTAAAGATAATTTTTTAAAAATGTAAAGGATGGAATAATGGAAGAAGAAATTTTTAAAAAACCTCTTTTGTAACTTTATTTTGTTTGGAAATGAATAATGATCAAGCCTTAGAAAATACTATACAGTGATAATATAAGATAAATTTTAGAACTATAAATCTGAGATTAAAACTTCAGAAACAAAAGTTTGCGGATATAATGAATAAATTATACATATTCTTATGAGTGATAAGACAATATTTCTTCACTGAGCTGTGTATAAAATATAGAGATTTGAATGCATTACTGTTTAAGGAAAACAATGGATAAAGAAATAGAAAAATAAAATTTGTTCCCCAAACACAAGCTATATTGTAGGCTATTGCATGCAATACCCTTTGTAAACACATAAAGTGATTCAGAATTACTGTCAACAATAATTATCACCTTTGACTGTATTTCAAATGTAAATACTCCAAAATGTGAATCTGAGCAAATAAACAGTATTTATACAAATACTGTACTGTACTGACGCCTTGAGTCTTGTAGTAATACACCCTTTCTAAAATGTATGTTATGACTGGGTGAGATAAAATTATTATAAATAATTGCTGATAAAGCAGAATACATGCCTAACTTTAGTATCATTAGATTCTAACTTAGTGAAAGTAAGAGATTTACTGAGGTATCAATCATTGTATGACATTTGTTCATATTTTCT